CTGGCTGTCTCTTTCAAACTCTCATCAAGCCTCTGGATCACAAAAGGAAATATTTATTTTAAAGATTAACGTTTGAAGAATAAAACAAAACCAGACACGTTGATGTGCAACTGAGAGCGTTGCTGATTTACTCAGCAGCAACTGTTCCAGATTTAAACCCATTAAGGAGAAATTGTGTCTGGGCTAAAAATACACCATATCTAGGTGAAACATAAATGCAGAACAAAATCAAATCCTTTTCAAGTGAACCTAGATGACTGTTTTTTTTTTCAAAAACTAATTTCATTCAACAAGGGAGCCTAAAACCCACAGAAATTTTTAAACTTCTGCTTTCTCAACGGCACGTGAAAACCTACCACTCCTGAAGGTGCTGGTGGATACAGAATAAGTTGTCCTAAGTGGGATCTTTCCACTCTGCACTGTTGGTTTTCATGTACATCCAGCAGATCTGAGATACAGCTGTGTGGGTTTTTATCTGTCACTATCGCTGCCTTGGAGTCAGCACAGTCAGGCATGTAGAGCTAAATATGTTGCCTCTCCTTTAGTCTTATTTTTTCTGTTAATTTTGTGTTATTTAGTTTCTGAGGACATATTTGTCAACTTAGATTAAAAGAATCTCATTTAGCAGCCCAGTATTATCAGGGTAAATTTAGTTTTTCAGCATTTTTTTCAGATTTCAAATGACTTTTCAAAGATATGCATATTTATTCAATTCAGTTCCATTTATTTAACATATTTAACATCAGTTCACTAGCATGTCATCTCGAGGCTCTTTGCAGAGAAAATTCAGTCAAGCCTAAAACTAAAGGTACTTTTATTTCATTAAAAGTGATAGCTTTCCTCCCTCACGGAACTCCACTGTGGTAAATGTGATTGTGACCAGCCACAACAAGCTGTTTGGTGGCATTGGCAGGCTCAAAGATTGTCAAGGGACATTACATATTATCCAGATATATAGCTCATATGTTAGCCAAATCACAGAGTTCCTTTTCATATACAACAGAAAGTCGAAGCAGAACTACTCAGACTCAAAGCTGAAGATATCAGCTCCCATTTACACTACCCTCTGAAAACCGATTCATGCCGAGATTTGATTTAAGAGTACCGAGCTTGGTTCCTTCACACATCATGCTACAGTAGCATGGTTTCTCACCTCCTAGTGACAATCTACGGTATTACTGCTCTCTAGAGGTAAAAAAGTAAACCAACATGGCGGCGCCAGTAACTTTCAGGAAGTTTGCGGAAAGTCAGGCGAAGAAGGGAGCCTTTGGTGAATTTACTTGACAGAGTCGGCTTTTGGGAAGTGGATATGACAAATGATAGTCTAATTAGGGCTTACAGATGCAGGAAACAATGACAGGAGTTGAGGTTCATCACACTGCTAAGCAGAATCATTACTGGAAATCGTGTGGCATGGTAGCGAATCTAGTATTTTTATGAATCTCTAAAATTTCATGATTATGGAGGCTGACTGTAAGGAGATGACGCAGTCTGCTCATGTGCTCTTTGTTATCTGAGAGCCGAGCCAGAACTGAACCAAAGCGATCCCTACTGATGAAATAGTATTATGTAAGTTTGGTTCGGTTCACACTGTTTCACAAGGGTAGTGTGATAGGCCCAACACCCGTGGGTCTCACCAATCGTAACATTAGCTAAGCATAACAATCCAGACAAGGTGCACATATGTGTCGATATGCGAAAAGCAAACACAGCTATCCAGAGAGAATGTCACCTGACCCCTACTATGGACGACTTCATTTATGAACTGAATTGAGCGACTCTTTTCTCTAAACTTGATCTGACTTCACTTTCCATCAGCTGGAACTATACCCAAACAGCAGGTACTTCACCAGATTTACAACCCACATAGGTCAGAGAAGATACAAGTGCCTAAACTTTGCCATCTCTCCCAGCTGCACAGGTGTTTCAAAATGCTATCCATCAGGCACTTCAGGGAATGGATGAAAAATCTCAGCGACGACATTAGCTTCTACATGGCAAGAAAGGCTGACCATAACAAAAGTCTAAGAGCTGTGTTCCAGCAACTCAAGGAACGTGGCCTTACACTAAACTGATATAAGTGTGAGTTCAACAAGACTCAACTATTTAGAGACCCAGAGTGGCAGTCTATGGGAGTTGGTTTCGAACTCACAACCTCAGGATTCCAAGTCCTATAGCCTAACCACTAGGCCGCCACTTGGAAAATGCTTCTATGTTGCTAACATAAAGAGACTGACCCTGGAAGCAGCATTTCTACATGTTCCTGCATGTGTACCAGTCAACTCCACACACAACAACGTTATCGCCGGCCAAGTTCGCAGGATGCACACAAAGATGCCTTCAGTGAGCACCCCCAACAAAACAGCTAAAGATCTTCCAAGGAGGGACCACGAGGCCAAAACCAAAATGAAATTGTCACCCTCTCCAACCTGGTGACAGGGTGTTATGCTCTCAACCCAGGTGCAACAAAATCACAGTAACTTACAAGCCCAAGCCGTACAGAGTGATCACTGTTAAGCTCCATGATCACAGCTGAATGGGACACAGAGTGACACAGAGTGACAAGAAATTAATCTTTTTTCTAAAAGCTCAACTCTGAAATGCGTGACACATCTACCCTAAAAGAAGAGGACGGAAAAGTTGCAGATGACACAGTCCCAGTGCTGGCATGACCAACCCAAATGTGTTAGAGTCTTGTTATGGAGGGAAAATGATTTGTGGTTATGACCAAGGTTATCATCATAAACTAAAAGTAACAAAACACGAGAACTACAATTAAAATAATATTAGGAAAAAAATGAAAATAAAAACTAGACCTTGCATAACACTTTATGAGCACCAGACATTTTAAACCAACCAATTAAATTTTGAAAAACTATTTGAACCTTAGTTATGACTATTCTATACAAAAATACATATGAAAAGTGGACACAATTTTTCTTCATTTACACAGCAGTTTGAAGTATTTTGTTAGTGGATTGGATGAAAACCTCTACATATCAATGTTAAGTTTATGCCATCCATTTTTTAGTGTGACTTGGATCTCATTATTGGACATCAAGATGTGATGATCTAAATCAATGCTTTTTTTCTGTCGCCGGCTGTATGTTGGGTGATGGCCTTGCTTGAAGGCAGACCTTCACTCAAGTTTCTTGTCTTTAGCACATTTTAACAGGGTTTCTTCCAGCATAGCCATGTATTCTGCTCCATCCATCTTCCAATCCTTTCTGACAAGCTTCTGACAAGGCCTCCAACAGTGTATGGTGTCTTTAAGGAATGCATTGATGAACCAGATGAGATCTTAATCAAACAGATTGAACTTCATGGTTACAAAAGTTGAAGAGGCATCTTTCCCTGGCTGATAATGCTGCTAGAGATCACTGAAGCTTAATTTTGTTTCACTTTAATCTATAAAGTTTTGGAATGTGTCCAATAAATATATGTATTTATGACACTGCTGTGTTTTGTGGCTTTCTGGTGTCTCGGCAAGACACTATTTAAGTCTTTTAAGCTGCTTTAGTGCTTCATTTTAAGTGTGAAAAAAACACTTTTGGGTTCACTCAGCGGTCTCCAAGCTCTGAAATCTCACCAGCCCAGCGTGCACAGAAAAATATTAAATGTATAGAAATATATGCATTCAATAGCATAAGGGTTGGATGTAGTGCTGGTTGAATTTAATTACAGTATTTAACGATGGATGGATGGATGGATGGATGGATGGATGGATGGATGAATGGATGGATGGATGGATGGACGGACGGACGGACGGACGGACGGACGGACGGACGGACGGACGGACAGATGGACCTTTGGGCACCTTTTCAAAAACATTGTGATAAAACATTGGCTCATATATACAAAAGAGATTAAATAAAAAAATGTAAAACAAAGATTAAGGAAATTTGAAGATATGGGAGTAACACTAATGAGCCATCGCAGCAGAGGGCAGGTAATTTTTTTAATTTCAAACCAAGTGAGCTAATGTAAGACTTATTTGTTCCCAACCATATTTACCCTATCCTGTCTGTATACATACATGTGATGGATTTATCTTAGATTCCACATTAAAATAAAACAAACAACAAAAGATTTGATAATAATAAAAATAACTAATTATGAAAATACACATGATAAATGATTTCCAATTTGGTAATGATTTTAACAATATTAGAGATAATAGCAATCATAGAACCCAAATGTTGTAATTTCCATTTGAATCTGTTATTCTACAGATCAGTTGTTGTATCCTATAAGACATTTCTTTGAAGAATGTCTTAAAGTGTTTGATTTAACATCTCCTTGACATTTCGACTGTTCCATTGTAGCCCCTGTTTCTGGTAGTCCTCAACTTAATGCCAATCCACCTGGCTCCCTGTTTCATGAGGCCCAATCAACTTCAGCAAACTTATTTTAAAATAAATTACATTTAAACCCCAGAGCTCTTTCAATTTTACTTTGGTCAAATGTATAACAAGTTCCTCATTAAACCTACAGTCCCCAAAAAATAAAGTGTTGTTTATGTTCAATTCAAAATTGTTTACTTCATGCCTCAATTTTAGATAAAACAATTCCTAATTATCCTATTTGATAAGTTAATTAATATAGTCTCTGTCTTATAAAACATCTGAGTCATTGGAAAAAAATATATATTTTATTTTTTAACATTTTGCATATGTAGTTATTATACATCTTGAATAAATTATACACACATTTCACTAAGGATGTTAAATTCAATATTAAAGAGCAAAAGATACATTTAGGGACAAATACTTTAATGCATTCATATTTTATGTTCTTCTTTTTTAAAACTAGTATATCATGAACATTTTAAATAATTGAAAATAATCAGAGAGAAAAATAAGACTAATAACCTTTTCCTTGATACAATGTGTTGTATTTAATTCAGTCTGTTTTCCAAACCTGCATTCTCTTTTAACTCAAAGACATTTCAACGATATCTGCATGTATCTGCATCTGATTTTTTTACAATGTTAACTCACATTTTGACAAATGGGTCAGAGTAGCCGTTGGAGTCCATGGCAGCCAGATGGGCACAGCGTATGATCCCAACCAGCAGGCAGCCCTTCTCTGTGTTGTAGCATAGCGACACCAGGATGCGACCACGCTGGGGGCACAAACACAAATGATTTTACCGACACACGCTGATGTTTTCTGCTTGGAGGACTGCAGATATCACCCAACTATGCCATGTTTCTTCAAAATAATTTACCAAAGTAATTAAAAGGAGTGTTAGTGATTTATTTGAAAAGCTTTACTATTAAGTCCACAGTGTGTGCCTTGAGGTTTTAAATTAAACCTTGTAATTACAGGCCTTATCAGAGCTATAGCCAAAAGGCACTTCTCTCCTCCAACTTTAATCTTCGGGGTGAACCAAGAAATCCGAATCTAATCAGAGAACAGAGGCTATTAGCTTCTGTCTCCAAATCATGAAGAGAAATAAGGTAGAAGCCATGAGAGGAGTAAACCACTAGACTGCTATCATTTTCACACTGCTGATAGGATGTCCATGTGAGCCGTTTTACAGCTCTCTAGACTAATGAAGTTCATGCTTCATATACAGATTAGAAATGTGTAATTACACTTTCGTATGGCCTCGGTTTCCCGAGACATTGTAATTTACATGACGGTTAGGAACAATTTTTGATTACCTCTTCCTCTGCCACAACAGCACCCTGCTCGACCAACTGATTGTTAGTTTCCTTATTCTGAAACAAAGTAAGAGGAGAAATCATTAGTTGTTTACAAACAGTCTATTAATATTGTAGCTTGGATTGCTTTGACCAGTTGGAAACTAAAAAACCTAATCTTTTTGTCAATATAGGCTACAACACAGTGCTAAGTGTAGAGCTGACAAAAAACATTCTCCTTGTGTGTTTTTACCCGGGGGCGAAAAAGTCAAAAAGTGGTCTGAAAGTGAAGGAGGCTGTATTTTTCTACAACATTTCAGCAGTTCATTCAAGCCCCAGAAGAGAAAAAGTGAGCAGTACTTAAGATAGATGACAGGATGGCTCAGTGTGGTAAAACAATATTTCTCTGTTTAGACCAGTTCAACCTGGAGAGACTCAAACAGAGAAAAGTTAAAATTAGAAAGATCGTATTGAGACTCTTATCTGTCATCAAAATAAATAAACTGAATTGAATTTAATTGAATTATATGATGCTTGATGGTTAATGACTCAACTGACTACTAACCAATTCTGTGATCTTTCTTCCAAAGACAAACTTAAAGACTATGTAATGTTTTTACATCTTGTCATTTCTAAGTTAAAGGTTTTTGCCAGTCCTTTGTGGAATAAGGCTTAGTATGGAGGGCATTGGCCCCTTCAAAGTGGGCGCTTGCGTTGATTCCATATATCATTTGTTTTTTTCAATTTTAAACTAACAATTAAAATACGAGAAACCAATCTTTGTTCTTTGAAAGGACTCTTTATTAACTTCATTACCACACAAAATAGAATATTTAAAAACTCAAAGAAAAAGGGAAAACATAAATTTTTTTAATTTTTCGTTTTGGGTGCCTATCAAAAATTACCCCAGCCTCCGCCAGACATGTGCAAGCTGCTTTATACAAAACTGGCTTTATACAAAACATAAAATCAGCTGTTCTGGTGCATGATCTAATACTGTTCAATCCCAGTATGAAAAAAATCTCTATGGAGTCAGTTTTATCATTAAAACTTGAATTATCTTTAAAGCTACAGTGTGTAATTTTCAGCGACATCTAACGTACAGACTGCAGACCGCAGCAACATGAACATCTCCTCCCCACCGCTTCTCCCCCCCAGCAGTACGGCGAGCGTTATGGGACAAAATGTCTTCCACGACGTCCGCATTACCTACCTTCTCAAGTGATGAGGTTTGTTTACATAGATACGCCTTGCCGCCTTGATCACCTGTCTTGTTACTGATGCACCGTATACCTGCTTCTTCTTCTTCTTTGGTTTCAGGCAGACTAAACGCTACTCAGGCATAATACTACCATCTATTGTTCAGTACCGTCTCAGTTCATCTCTCTCAACTTGCCGTAGTTACTTTCGAGCGTAATGGGCGATCTCGCAATCGCTAGTTTGTTGGCTCTGCGCTGCCGTAGCGCAAAGATATCTGCCTCCATGGCTGCAAGACCCGCTCCTATGTAATTATAAATAACAAATTCTAAGGCAACGCAAATATTAAGGTTAAGAGACTGAGCTCGTAGATGATGATAAATAACATAGTTATGTATAATATATTACATTTCTGACTGTATAATCCCTGTAATTATTACACACTGTAGCTTTAAATGATAGATTCGGATGAATGTGTTTAATTAAACATGGGTGTCCTTTAAAAATGGTTTGGCAAATGTCCTTATTCAGTTCATCAAAGGCCGCTACAGATGCATAACAGGAAGAAGAATATGTGCAGCCCAAATTATTTTATCAGTGAGAGTACTGACAAAAAACAGGTTTGCTCTGATCAGCACAAACAGGAAAGAATAATATCCCTGATTCAGAACTTCAAAACTTAATGTTTGCTTTTTTATTTCGTCTTGTGGGGCAGCCAGAGCGGCGTTCGGAATCTGTACGATTTTTTCGGTCAATGTTCCAAATGATTCTTATTTATGACAATATGTTTTCTTGTTTATAAACAATTTAAGACATATTAAATGTTTTTGACTACTTATTTATTAGTTGCCACTATCACAGTGGCATCTTAGCTGCTGTTGAAATTTTTTCATTGCAGCGTGATTGAGTGTGATTTCCCTGCCTTCTTTACTTGTTGTTTGTGCCTTATAAAACTGCCCCTACCTCAGAGCCAAAAGGAAGTTTAAGAAATCAATTCGAATGCTTGATATCATTTTTTTTATATATATATACACCCATCAAAGTTGTAAGGATATGTACAAATAAAAAACAATGTTCTCCATTGTTTTATTTTTTTTATGAAGTAAAAATCTGAAGAAAAACTTCCCCTGGCACCCCAAAGGACAGCCCACTGCTCCCCAAAAGGATGGGTTAAATGCAGAGATAAATTTCTCCAATGTGTGATCAATAATGTTCAATCGTTATTATTATTATTATTTATTCTTTTTTTTTTTTTTTGGCTCCTCTATGCATCACTTATAATGAACATTCAATGTAAATAGCAGCAAAAGGACATCCACACCATCTTCACTTCTACCCTCTTCTGTGGCAGACTCATGCATCAGGTGGGAGCAAATGACATAATGTCTTCTTGGCGCTGCAGTCTTCATCCTTACTGGTTTGTCACAAAAACAGCACCTTTCATACCTGTAATTTATGTAGTTGGAATGATTTTAGCCAATTCTGATACCATGCTATTAATATGTCTGTCCCTACTAGAAGCTAAGGGCTGTAATCTCAATATTATCTCTCCCATGATACATATTCCAAAAATAACTTAATGTTCACAACAGGAAGGATTAAAAAACAGAGGGAATGCTTCTAAAAGTTCCTATGATGTATGCCTGTCTAAATGCTCAGTCATCTCGGTCATGACAACAAAAAATAGTGGCTTACTGTGAACTGGAAGGTAAACTGACTTACGCTCAATTTTTCAATTAGGTTTTGACACCTATCTAGGAGCATTTACACAAGCATGTGGGTTACAATTTGGGAATGATACCCTCATGTTGGTGTGAGAGTATTAGCACATTTCCAGAAAGATTGTGGCGCTAGTGTAAGCCCACAAGGACTCCTGGACCTTTTAAAAAACTGACCAAAGGTTCTAAGCTGGTATTAGCAGATCAACATTTTACAAAAACAAAGAATGGTGAATTTCAATTAGTTTTTTTTTTTATTCTATTAAATTCTAGATGTTATTCTTACCTGTGCAATTCTCTCTAGCCCCATATTGTAGCGTTTGCTCTCTCCTTCCTTTAGCTTCTTCAGGGCCACTCTCACCTCCCCAATAAACTCATTTCGTCCGAGTCTGTCCATGTCACACACACACAGCCTTCATACAAGCACACACACACATAAAGACAAGGTAGGAAGAGAAGGTAAGTGATATAAGGTTCTATATTAGGCCTTCCTATGCATTCATTATTCAAGAAACGGCCCTACAAAACCTTCCAAAGTGCCTCTGAGCAGGTGGCCACTCTGCAATTTCTCACTAATGAAACAATAGAAGTTGTGTGATTGCTGAAGAGCATGAATGCTTCCAAAAAAGCTGGGATTTCCTCTCCAGGTAATTCAAAGATGTGAAATGACAAATTAAAAAAGCTGTGGAGCTGTGGAACATGCCGATTTAGTCAATGGTTAAGTTTGTTTTATTTTGACCCAAAGAGCAAGAAATACGTGGTTTGTATTTGTGTTAAAATAGGTCTTAGGTTTGTCAAAGTCATACTCCCATTATTTTCAGCAAATATACTGATATGTGGCAGTAGAAATTCTTTAGCATTTGACCAATTACCTCGGATGATAGTTACCTACTGTAAATTGACTTGAAAAAAATAACGTAATATATAAAAAAAGGTAGAAAGCTATGTATATATATATATATATATATATATATATATATATATATATATATATATATATATATATATATATATATATATATATATATATATATATATATATATTTCCACACAAGAAATTAAGTCAGGATTTTTGTCACTGTTTTCAAGTGAAGCTGCTAACTGATAACCTCACTGGTATATTTTTTATTTCAGACAGGGACAATGCACAACCTTTTATTAACTTTTTAAATACAAAGGAAAAGTTGGGGTGCCAAGTTATAGCAAGATTCCTATTTTCTATCCGTATTCCACGGCCAGGTTGAACATCCACCAAAAACATCCTTAGCCTCTCAAACACTCCTTTTACTAAAACCATTTACAAAAATATATTTCTATAAATATACATCAACACTTTTACTCACACAATGACACACGCATCCCTCCAAATCACACTTACGCTAATCCAATCTCAGACACGCCAACAGTCTCTTCACTCGCTTCGCTTACACATACGTCACTCATGAGTGCAAATTTGCTTTGATAGCAGCCTTTTCTTTGTTAAATGTGTAAATCTTCCATAAATTGTAGATGCTGTTTTTTCACTTATCAACTGAAGAGAAAACAGACTTAGAAAAAGAGTTCCTACATTTTACAAGGCTGCACAGTCTTCTAGATGGTAGGTAGCAATCTTTGTTGTGACTGTCTCTGGCCTTGTAAAATGTAAATTCTATGCAGTCTAACCAACCAATAGACAGAAACTGTCCACTTTAAGATCACCTCCCCCTTATTTACATAATGATACATGCAAAATACATACAAAAATGGAAAAAAGGTCAAACATGAATAAATAGGTTGGAAGAGATAAAAAGAGTGAAACAATAGAAAAACTGAAACAGATAAAGGCCTACACGGGAATATGTAAGTATAAAAACAAGTTAAAAATTATAATGATACTAAATAAATAAAGTAATTATGTAAAGGTGAATAAATAAAAGCAGCAAAAGAAAATATATTTACATAATTATTTTTTATCTTATAATTTAATTACTGCTTACATTTATTTATTGCTGAAAACATGTCCTATGTGTTCAGCGCGTTAGCTCATATAAGAAAAACAATTAAACCAGTGAGTGATACAAAGATCTTTGCAGTGAACATGCTACAAAACCAAGTAGCAACACCAGCCCAACAAAGTAATGTGACTCACAGTATCTAAATTCATTAGATATTATCCAGATCCTCTCTGTCCTCCTCAGTACTATCTGAGAGGGGATAATCCCTGTAAAAATACCCTAAATCTAAAGCCATAAAACACCCAGCTGCAGGGTGCCCAGCACTGAGACCCCCTAATGGGTCACAAAGCACAAAGGACCACATTCCATTGATTTCCTCACATTCAAAATCTAAATATAGTGAGGAAAATAAGTATTTGAACACCATGCTATTTTGCAATTTCTCCCACTTAGGAATCAAGGGGAGGTGTAAAGTTGTCATCGTAGGTGCATGTCCACTGTGAGAAACATAATCTGTTTAAAAAAAATCCAGATATCACAATGATGATACAGCTGCAAATAAGTATTTGGACACCTGAGAAAGCCAATGTTAATATTTGGTAGTAGCCTTTGTTTGCATTTGGAATGGTTAAACTTTTTCCTGTAGTTTTGCACACACTGGACAGGAGGGATTTTGGCCCACTCCTCCACACAGATCTCCTCTAGATCACTCAGGTTTCTGGGCTGTCAGAAATACAGAGTTTGAGCTCCCTCCATAGACTCTGGTGCTTCCGGTCATTGCCATGTTGGAAGACCCAGCCTCGAACCATCTATGTATATATATATATATATATATATATATATATATATATATATATATATATATATATATATATATATATATATATATATATATATATATATATATATATATATACATATATATATATATTCAAAGACTGAGCTTGTTAAAATGTAATAAAGGTTTGAATACACATTTTTTTTCCATCTAGAAGTATATCAAGTTGTAGTTTTACTCCTCACTCCCCCGAGCCAAGGGCAGTAATGTTTATTATGAAACTCAAAACAATTGGACACAGAAATATTGAGGAAAGCAATTTAGAAGCCTCGCACTGGCATAACCCACACATAGTTAAACATCTAGCTCTCTTGGTATCACACAGTCTGCAATTGATGATAGTTTTGCTGAGAAACCGTGAGTCACGAAAGCTTTTAAAGATGAGTTCATCCCCATGGCTGTCCTCTAAGGCATGCATTAATGCTTGACTCAACATTTTTTGTTGCCCAAAAGGTTTAGAACCAAAGACTGAGCTCGTTAAAATGAAATATAGGTTTGAAGTATCCATGTAATTTCTTTTTAGATGATCTGAAGTTCACCTAAAGGCAGAGAAGGTACAGTAACTCTGAGCATCTGAGGAAATCTAAGTAAATTCTCTCTGGTTTGGGGCAGATTTGATGGATTGGCTATAAAAAAGGGGCCTCTGTGAGAAGTGCAGTGTAAGAAATACATACATTTTCATTTTCTAAATCTGAGCATAACTTTAAAAATTTTGTTAAAATATGGCGACTTTTGCAAGAGATCTGCATGATCTCTGAGTTCCTTCAGATGCGTTTAAACAATTATGATTTGAAAGCAGACTACCACAATGAATAATTCATCAAGATGATGCAGTGCATCCACTTCATAGGACTTTTCACTCAAGACTAGAGCACCTCAGGCAGTCTTTCTGCGCCAATTAAAGGATTAGCCGCTACGAAGCCAAGCGTGAATAAGCGATAGAAGACATTAGTTATTGGTTTACTCAGCTGCTTCATTCTTAATAACAAAATGGACCTCCAGTGGCTCTTAGAGATAAAGTAGGCTCACACAGACCCAAAGTCTTTGAATGCAGATTAGAAAGAAAGGTTGGCTGTGAGTACTTTGATTTTTTTTTCTTGTACTCCCATCCTTTTCAGAACTGTCTACTATTAACTTGTTCCTCTTTGTATTCTGCTTTGGCATGATGCCTTTATATAACCAGTCTACATTCAAATAGAAGAAATAAATTAACAAATGTTTAATCTCCCCTTTTCATTGCTTCATATGCTACGTTGCTTTCATTGCTAATTGAGGATTTAATTTGGAAATTAGTTAAATGTTAAAAAAAAAAGATTTTTAGCTTTTGTCGCAGCTTTTATTTAAAGACAAGATATAATATCAAGTTAGTATTCGATTTCAGGTAAAGTTCTTTACTTCTTGAAATCTTCTTGAAATTCTGCATTTGGCTGCAGGTTTCAAAGTAATCTGCATTCCTGCGGCTTCATCTGCACGGGACACCCCTAAGCAAAGGACAAAATGGACAGCTACGTCCAAGCCTGGCTTCATCCGGAGTAGGCCTAATGTTTATTCAACTATAGAAGATGTGATAGGACAGATAATACTGCCCATTATGCTGTGAGGTGTCCCAGTGTTTTCCTTGAAAAACAAAGTATTTTAATATACTTTGTTTTCATGTTTAAAACCAGGTTATGCCTTGTTTTTAAGTGCAATTGGGTTATTATTTGACAGAGAGAACCACATATTAAACACAAATGTTTGAAGTTTCTTCCTCTATTTCTGCCTATAATATTGAGTTCTTCTTTTTCTTGCACGGCACTTTGAGTTATAAACTGTTCAAACATAATTTTGATTAGTGCAGCATAGCATTAGTGAAAAGCTATATATAAAAAATATCATTTAATGAAAATAACAAGAAAGGAGACTGCAAAAAATACTTTTATATTAACATCATTTTAATTTTGAATCAATTATTATAAAGTCTTCACTCGACACCACCTGTGTGTGGTTAGTTTTCCTTCTCTGTTTTAGCTTCTCTGCAATGCTAATTGTTTTCTCACACTGCATAAAATAAAGAGTTTTGTCTTTAAGAACGTCAGGTGATCCACTGCCTGTTATTTATCCACATTTACATAATGATGACCAGGTTTTTCCCTAAATAAAAGCCTGCATTTAGGAGGAATACAGATAGACTCTATTTGCTCACTGCAACCCTCTCGGGAGCAAATCAGCCCCGGTGTTCGGTTTCAGAATTAGAGGTTCATGTAAACTAGGGTTTGCCAACTTTTAGCATCAGCAAATGGCTTTGTGCCTGATCCAAAGGAGAGGATTGGATGAGGGCCAACATTTGTTTTGCTGTGACAGGGAGCAAATCTATAGTATATCATGCAAAAAACTGTTGGCAATGATAAATGGATGACTGATGGCTTTTGGAGAATGAAGGTCTTTTCTGTTAACTTTCACTCCTTTAAGTTGTTTTTATCCTAATCTCATCAATATTTTATTTTGACACTATGTGTTACACAGCCTGCTTGAATCCCCTCTGGATCAACACAATCCAGACCCAAATGGAATACCACATTAATTACTTTTTAACACTCTGATGCACACAGTAACTGCAAAGTGGTTGTTGTGGTCAAACAAGTTTGGACTGATTTGGTTT